CTCAATTTTATAATTATTTTTATTTTTTCATATCAAAGTTTAGAATTTGATATCAACATTTGGAGGTTTCTAGGCACCACGCTAATTTTTTGCGCCTAATTAACCAGACTTCGCTATGCAATCGCTCTTTAACCATTTTTAATTAGTAAAAGTACATTTGATTTCCACAAATGGAATCTCGTGGTTTTCTTTCCTGATTATTAAATGGAGAGGTGCTGACACCAAGGCCATAGGCTGTTCAAAAAATTAGCGTGGTTCCTAGAAACCTCCAAATGTTGATATCAAATTCTAAACTTTGATATGAAAAAATAAAAATAATTATAAAATTGAGTAATGTTTAATTTGATTACACTTTTTTTCCTGGTGTACCGAAAACATTTTGCAGTGAAGGCCTTGGTGCTATACTCAGAAACACTATCAGAGCAGAAAAATATACATAACCTTCATTTTGATTATTTAACATTATGAAAGCGGATCATTCTGCTTTGTTCAAACAGTTCAATAGTTACAACAAACCATAGCTTAGAAGTGTTTAAATCAACTACTGATTGAGGGAAATGAGGAAGTATAGCCAAAACCAAAACTGATGCTCCTCTAAAAAAAAAGATCAGTGTTGATCTGAAATGTTTTTCCTATCTCTAGTTAAAACACAGAATAGTTTCATGCTGTGCTTTATAGCTGTGCTAGTATGACAGCTTCACAAATATTAAGGCCTTCATTATACTACAAACCTTGCACTCCAGTCTGTCTGCTGCTTCCCTTTTTTCACCCATGCTATGTTTTACAATGTAATACCTTCCCCATGATAGGGATTATGCTGCACTCTACCTACAATTTAGCTTATAGTAATGTTGGTAGATGAATATGGTGAAGTCTAACATGTCAAGGGGGCACTAGGTTGGAGAAGGCCATCTTAGATCATTTGCTAAAGATCGTTTTGCTAATCTTACCTACTCATATTTTCCTAATATCTATAATGAATACTTTATACCATTTAAATTTCAAAAAAGTCTTGTTTCAATTTCCTGAAGTTCTTCACATGATATCAGTGTGCACATATGGAAGTATTCACTCAAATCTTTCTTGTGATTTTTTAAAAACTTATTGGTGATCATTAGCATCATTTTTACTTTCTATCAAGACCCACTTTTTGTCATCAGTAATTTATGACCTATATTTTCTCCCTCTTTTCTACCTAGCCCTACATAACTTTGCCTTTTTTACATTTCAAAACTACCTCAATTTTCCCCAAAATGCCCTCATTTTCCTGAAAATCACACTAGAGTTAATTACCTGTTTTCCCTGTATATTATACACACAGAGAGATTTAAAACACTAATAATCTTAAGGCTGAGTTAAAAGAACAGCTCGCCCAGCCCACAAAGCTTAAAAAAGGAAGTAAACATACACAGGAAATATACAAAGTACACTCTTTGTCAAACAGCAAATCAGTAACAAACAAAACAAAGCTAGAGCTACAAAACACTGTGGGGAT